AACTGACAGAACTCAATGTCAAGGCAAATCCGCCATGTTTTCATTGTGCACGTGCACGAGCGCACGCGAATAACGCCATAAATTATGCGCAGAGTAAGGATGCGCAATGCAAATGTGAGGAATCACCTTAAGAACCTAATAAACAACCTACTTTGCCCAAATCGCTAATAACTGCCCCAAAATACGAGAACCTACATGTATTCTTGCCAGACTTCAAAAAATGTAGGTTCTTAAATGCTGTTTTTTTTTCTGATCTGTCAGTGTTTTTGTATCAACTGTAATGCTTTCCAGTGGTATACCATAGAATTAATCCCATGAGTCACTTGTATTTTCTCAGTATACACATTCACCTAAAGGCTTGCATGTACACCAAGAAAATACAAGTGACCAGGAGGTGATTCCATGGTATTTGACAAGAAAGCATTTCACAACTATTTTATACATGCCATAGAAAATACAGTGACAAACACTATCAATGCGACATAACCACAATGCAGATGAGAAGGCTGTTAAGTATACAACAGCTTCTCTGTATGCTGATTGGCTGTATTTTCTATGGCATGGTTTAAAAGTTTATCTTTCCTATACATGCATTCTACGGTTACAATACTTGTACTGTATCACCGTATGTATCAACAGAACAAGTTCATGAACACTGACACGAAGACTGATGTGCATGGAATCCTTATTGCATACAATCTTGATTATAATTATTATCCTAATAATTAATGCACTGTGTTATTAGCTACATTGCTTACGAAAAGATCAGTCAAACAAATTCAATTAAATCAACTTACAATATTAAGTCATAATCATTTATGCAGATGTATAAACATTTCATTTTTATAAGTACATTCTTCCAGCTCCACAACACATTTTTCTCCTATTTTTTGAATGTCTACATGTATTTTACACCATAAAAGCGAAGCCTTGGAGCCAACTGGCTCATAGCTGCCGGAGCTTATCCCGGTTTCTGTCGCATGAGATGACTAGGAATATTTCTACTCCCCCTGGATGGGATGCTAGTCCATCGCAGGTCACTCCCCGCAATTTGTTAGGTTTTCCCAACAATTCGCTGGTACCCATTTATACTCCTGGGTGGAGAGAGGCACTGTGGGAGTTACGTATCTTGCCCAAGAACACAGCATAGTGTCCCCGGCCAGGGCTCGAACCCAGACCACTCGACCAGGCCTCGATGAGGCCACCGTGCCTATTTTACACCATAATATATACAAAATATACATTTACATTCAAATTAAAAGTGTATCCAACATTGCATCCACTAACTTTTTTTGTATCATACTTCAGGGACAGGAGAAAAGAATATCATGCTGATGTGACAAGCTTTCTTCATAAAAATGAAAATGTCTGGCGACTGTTTCACCAACAAAAATATATCCGTACTCTCCCTGAAGGGTGTTTGGTTTAAAACCACCCCACCCCACTACTGCTACCCTCACCACCTCCACCAAACCCTCACCCATCTGGAAATTGATGTTTAGCTTCATACCTGGAACCACCCNCCCCCCCCACCCCAGAACCCTCCCATTGGACTTTCCAATTGCCCTCTGTGGCGGGTATAGACACTTTTCAAAACTACACACTGGAACTTTCCTCTGTCTATATCTCTCCTTTTTCTCTTGCGACCAATATTTCCCACCTTTCTAGAGAGATGTGTCGCAGACAGTAAAGCTGAATTTTGATTAATACATGTAACTTTGACACTTACAATGTTCAGCTTCATTCAATAAATACAGTCATGCCATATACCTCCTAGAAATGCCAAAAAGCAATTTAATTAATTTTCTAATTTTCTAATTTTCCACGAGGAAAAATTATAAAACACGCATGAACAGCACCGCCATGACAGTGTTGCTCAGTAGCTGCCATTCAAATTGCCACACTCTAGGATTTCATCCAGGGATTCAAAAATGAAAAATAGAGCCATCCTTTTTAGAGGGAAAGAGTTAGAACTTTAATGATGGCTGTGTGTTTGAGAAAGTAGAAGAGGAGATACAATTCCAAACACCATGAGAAATAAATCAGTTCTTTGCATCTTGTCAGATCGTCCTTGGTCTGAACCATTCTCTCCTTGTGCATTCATACTCATAAGCTCTGGTAGTACGTGCACTGTTGCCACATAAAGGAATGTTCCTGCTGAAAACAACATGGCTATTCCAGTGCCGTTTACACTTGATAGTACTTCCTTACTGCTCTGTTGAGAAAAAATAATTCGATAAAACTACTGTAAGGACACCCACTCTCTTAGGATTTTGTTTGCTTTTATATCTCACAGATACTAGCTTGAATGTATTAGCTATTCTAAAAATTCAAGATTTACAAATAAATAACAGCGTGATCACTTTAAACATTTGGTCTTTTCCCCCATTTCCTTTCATTGAATGGCATCGTTCTCTTAAATTTTCTGAAATACAGTGCATCTCAGATATAAGCGAACTTCACATGTGCAGTCTATATGCACGTATTTTGCGTATACATGTATGTCAATACGTGCACAAACAGTAAATCCTCGAATTAGTGCCCCTCTCGAATAAGCTCCTCCTCGAATAAGTGCCCCTCCTATCGGCCAAAATTTAAAATAAGCGTCCCCCTCGAATAAGCACCCCCTTCAAAAAAGCACCCCTCCTATCACCCAAAATTTAAAATAAGCCCCCCCCTGGATAAGCGCTCCCCTCCCCCCCTCATTTTGTGGGCGGGTNGCTCCCCCTCTCCTCTCCCCCCATTTTGTGGACAAGTAATGAGACAACAAAGGAGTATAGTTTTCGTCATGTGGTATTAGATTTGTACATTGTTTTAGTTTGTGAACACTACTGTCGTTAAGTGAACACCTTGAACATGTTTAACCACTAACGGTGCCGCAATTTAAACTTTCGGATCCGCTTTTTTATGTCAATAGACAGCTTATGTTGTTGTTTATGCCCAGATGATACATGTATATGAAAAAAAATGATCTTGTCAGGCCATGATTTGGGAAAAATTACTGTAAATAAGCACCCCCCGTCTTCTCCTAAATTTGAAATAAGCACTCTGGACGCTTATTTGAGGATTTACAGTATGCACGTATATGTCTCTTTGTTATGTATTCCCCTACAGTGTAAGTTTCTTCATATGTTAGCATTGTTGGAGAAACAAAGGACATTTCTAGAATGAAATATATATATTATTTATAATTTTTGTTTCTTTTTTCCCCAAAATACTGGGTAGTGCTTTACTGAGCTTCAGTCAACTGGACAAAACTAGTAACTAAATGTGAATGATTACCTGACTAAGACCAAAGTAAGTGACCAAGGCCATTGTTGGTGCTGCTGCCGCAAACACTATAAGATGCCTTCGTATTCTATTTCTAACAAGTCCCTGAAATAAACACGTATTATTATTATCATGGTAGTTGTTTCACATACAGTACATGTACATTTACACAGGCAAAATGTACATCAGCACAATGCAAGATGTTAGCCATTTGTGATAATTACTCGCTGAGAGCAGAGGTTAGCTTTACAAAAACTAATTAATAAATGGTCCTGCTACAAATGCTACGGACAGCATTTCAGACCAGGGTGTTTAGGTTAACTGCATCATGCAAGAGATTGGATGTGGCTTCATCTCTAAATTTAACTGTAATCTATTTTTTATCGTTTTATCTTTTTAAATTTCTATTAATAGCACACATCAAACAAATATTATGGGAACTACAAAATTAATACTGTATATTAAAAAAGATATATGTTGAGTGACAAGTGCTTTTTAAGTGCAAAATGTATAGAAAGTGTATGTGTACTCACTTCATGAAGAAGAAAAGTTGTTAAACCAAAAGCAGCCGGTGCCTACAAAACAAAAAAGTAATTAATATACAATGTTGCAGTTTAAATTTCAAAGTAATTTTGTTTGAAGTTTTCAGAACAGGCATTTTGAATTCTATTGTTTGAAATAGCTATTATGGGATCCTTAAGGGCTAAATTAACTTATGTATTTGTCCCAGCCTGTAATAGCTATTTCAAACAATAGAATTCAAAATGGCTGCCATATCACCAAAAAGGCCCATTACAGAATATCCAGTGTATAATTTCAATTTACAGATTAAGGATTCTGTAATTTTGATGAAGAAAATTTGGGACCTATTGATTACATTGACATTTTATAACTAATTTAAATGCAAAACAAAAAACCAACAAAATTACATTTCAAAAGTCTGACATTCACTTCTGATATGAATCCAGGAACATGTACCTGGAATGACTTGCCTTTAGCTCATCGCCGTACATGAATGTAAAATTAATTTTTACACACCAATATCGGCTGCTAATAAGTTGTATCTTATCACACACAGGGTGAGAATCTGCCCAGGTAATACATGTGATTGACAGTAATGGTGAAACTCAGTCTGGTATCAGATAATCTCGAAATAGAGTCACTCACTGTGACACTTGTTTCGTTAAACTAGGAAAGAGATTGGAAATTTCTCCTTAAAAGAACATACAGTAGTTTACCTTGTGCAACATAATAGCTACAAATACAATCACTTCAACTTCTGTTTTTGAAGTAGACACAGCTGCTCCGAGGGCTACACCATCAGCTGCAATGATAAAAATATTCAATGTCTACTTAACACTACATTCCAGGACAAGCAGCCCACACCATCAGTGTTTTGAGACTGGTTTTCACTAGTGATGGAGTCGTAGTCAGAGTTGTAATCAGAGGCGTAGAGCGATACAATATAGTGAAAATCAAATCGGTGGAGTCTGAGGCAGAACCCAAATTCTGCTTATGACTTTGTCAGTTACGATCTTGTGAAAACTAGATTGTCGGAGTTGGAAGCAGAAGCAGAAGAATACACCAATCAAAATGCTCAATTCTGGGCCTTGCTATTTGTTTATTGTTCCGCTTCTGCGTCTGACCCTGGCAATCTAGTTTTCACCAGATCATAAGTGACTAAGTCGTAAACGGAATCGGAAAAAACGTTTTTATTCTTCCAACTCCGATTCTGTCGAGCTTATGACTCTGCTATGACTCCGATTTTTGATTTTCACTGAGTCCTAAACACTCATATGAATCCGACTATGACTCGGACTCCAACTCCATTGTTGGTGAAAGCCAACCTTTGGTAACATAAAGTGTAAAGTTCTATGGCAGAGTATTGTACAATCACAAAGGAAGGGTTTCTTATTCCTCCAAGTTACAGATGCAAAGACATTGATCATGACACTTGACTCACCCAGTCAAACAAATAAAACTTGTTACCTGCAGCATGAACAACAAGACCAACTGTCGCTGTGATTTTGCTATGCCTTTGACGGCCATTACCCTCTGGATCTAGATATATCAACAATTTAAATAACAACAGTCATGCATTACCATTTAATATATATCTAACACAAAGGAAGACTGTTTAAAGCAAACATTACACATGTATATATATGTGTTACACATGTTTATGAAACATGTAAAACCATAGGCTTATGGGCACCTTCGGACTTGGGGGGTACACCTGTATGCAATTCCCTAATGCATATGTGATGAAAATGGGAAACAAACACACTCAAACTGCATGAAAATTACAAAACATTCATAATTCTCATATCTAATGAAACACTGCAGCTATAATTCCAAAACTAGTTATTTACAGTGTAGCACATGACTGAAACAGTAGGATGTATTGCATAGAATTTTATTGTTAGTAAAGTTTTCTCTCCGGTAAGTTGCCTACATAATCAGTGTTTTGTCCGAAAAAATTACGTAATTGCCATAGCTTGGGAGGTCTGGTGCCCTCCCCCCCTCCCACCAGCTCATACGCTTAAATGTGAAAAACAGTTACTGCATGTTGTTGCAAATACATGTCAAAACTCCAAAACCTGGTCCCAAGTATTTAATTTTGCATAGATCTCTATGTACAATAAAGGTCAACAGTGTGATTTCTAAAATGTTCAAGGCCTAACTTAGAACTACAATCATATAATTATAATAAAAAAAATAATTATTAATTATTTGCAATTGATTTACCTGGTCCAGAGGGTGCATGCGAATGACCACCACTTATATGATCAATCAGAAGCATAAACACAAAGCCACAGCACAAAGACAGGCCAATAAATACATCAGGTTCAACTTGCGAGATTTGATGCTTTAACACATCAACATGTGAATGAGCTTTGTCTATGTGAGGCTGTGATGTATCATCAGCAGCAGTCTCTGAGTGAAGATGGGAACCATGACTGTGGGAAACATGTCCTTATGAACAAGAAAAATGGAAGATTTATTTATAAACATGATATGAACTCAGTCATGAAAGTTTTCAGGATCAGTAATCTGACAGTTACAGTACGTGTTAACAATACAAGTAAGTGAAGTTTTCACTTTTTGTAATTTGACGAGTATTTCAGGTTTCTGTTACAACTGTAGGTGACAAAGTAATTTCTCAAGCTCATTTATTTAACAATTCATCAAGTTTAATCACAGGAAATCATGACAGTGACGGTGTTTGGATATCTGATCTTAATTAGTATAGATTTTTACGATTCTATTTCTCCATTTTCTCCTTAGTTTTGGCTTTGGTTGAGAAGATAATTATATCAAACACTCAAGACAGTGTTTAACCACATTTCCAAACACCTCGAAGTTCATCAAAAATACTCTGCTGCCCGTCATATTTTCAACTTTCTTTTTGGCATTTGGTTATGTGGTCAAACATGGTCTTTCGTGTTTGATATATTGCATAATCCACTAATTTTATTCTTGATTTCAACAGGAAAAGGTGACAAGGAGATCAGGTGAATATAACTAAATTTATATCCACCATGCATAATTTAGGGGTAATGAAGCAGAATACGAAAATTAAAAAAAAAATGTAATGCAATAGAACACCAGAGAACACCATGCCATGGGATAGACGGAAGCAATATATATCTATTTGAATGGATTTCGCCAAAATGTTACATCAACGTACACTGTGCATGGACATAAAGTGTATTAAGATAAGAGGTGCAGGAAATCAACTTTGAAGTACATTTTATCCCACTGAAAGCTATTTTGTATTTCCTCTTAAAACTTTGATGTACACGTTGAGTTAGCCAGATTTCTCACCATGCTGTTGTGGTTCATATAAAGCATGAACTCCTTCAGGAATGATGACAGCAAGTGCCGTTCCTACCAAAAGACCAGCTCCGAGTATACTGACCATCCGTAATCGCTTCTGTTGATAAAAACAGTCAACAAAGTGAATGCTGAACATGATAACTAAATGCTAACTATCAAATTATACCAAGTACATACAATGAGATTAAACCTAGATATCAGACCACGCATTGCATGTATATCTGTACATTTTATTTTTATTTTACTTTTATGCCACATGCCATGTAAAGTCTACTGTACAGTTGTGGATGTAGGTACAATACTTTCAGCACTTGAAAAAGGTGCTATCCATTCATCGGTGACAAGTAGATTTTAACTCTGTGCAAGTAGCTTTTCATTTTCACTTACCCGATGGGCAACGGATCAGGCAAGTTGCCTGTCAACTATACCAACTATGACTTGCCCAGAGCAAGTAAAATTTGAGAGCTACTTGTCCTGAGGGCAAGCTGGAATTCAAGTTTTTTCAAGCCCTGTACTTTACTATAAAAAACACCATGTACGTGAAGCTTCAAGCAGGTCACATCGATCACACAAAATGCACACTAATACATGTAGTAAAAGCCTCTGTATTTGTGAGATCTTCTCCATTTCTAGCTTACACTGTAGATTGGTCGTAACCAAACTAGCTGTCGCTAACTACAAGAACATTGTGCGTATGTGATGGTGTTAAATTTTTGAGGAACAAACAATGCTCTCAGAAAATTAATAACAAAGCTTTACACAATTACATTCCATATTCTGCCATGCTTCCTTAAAGTGAAATCGATATTTACTTAAATCTGACCAAAGCAAATAAAGATCAAGGAAATTTTGGCAGAAATTTCGAAGTCAAGTGCTTGATCTTTTGTTTTTAAGCTTAATTTAATTTTACACCGTCTGTGTATATACAGAACACGTATTCGACACTCTTGTCGAATAAGTCATCACGACACATCGATTACTGCCTCTTCACAATTTCTTCACAAGTACGGTCGAGACCGACATAGCCTTACCTCTGAATATAAGAACATAAAAATGCCGGGATCTATCACTTCATAAAGCTTACCTCAGACATGGTGAAGGCGAGAGGTATTGCACCCGCTACATAACATCCCACAAACATGCAAAAACTTAAGCCAAACAATCTAGCAACGTCATCCATTTCGAGGCAGGGAAGTACTTTGTCGACAAAATCAAACAAGGATACTTTAAATTTGTTTATAAACGGCTTGACGAGGCCGTGAAAGAAAGCGAATATTCAACTAAATTTACATTTCCGAACAAAATTTTTGTGACACGCGTCCGGCTGTGTAACCGCGCATATTTGTCAGCGGTGTTTATCAGCTGGTCTCGTTTTCGTTCCTGGGTTTTTCCTGGAAAATTAATCGCGGGATTTTTCCCGGAACTGAAAATGCTTAGAAAGCAAAAATCACGAAAACGTTGTCTGTTTCAGCGAAGGACGGTGTAAAGGTAAGACTAAAATATTTCCTTTTTCTTTAGACGCATTGATAAAAAGCTTAAAAGCAGCATAATGGAAACCTTGAAATATTGAAACATTTTGAAGAACGGAGGTATCATAATCTTGACAGGACGATTTGGACGAAGCCTATGAACGGTTCACCGCGGTTCACCGTTACAATTTTCCGTTCTCCAAATTTTCGATGAATTGTAAACCGCGTTCTATCTGTTCGGTGATGAAGAGAAGCGTCGGAACCATGCGCTTGAAGAGTGAATTATTTTGTAAAGAATCGAATTCGTAAAAACAGGGTAAGTTGAAGCTAGCGCGCGAGCTGTGAGCATTTTATCGACTGAACTGTGTCTGAATATCGGCCTTTTGGCCTCCGTCATTTAAGTGTATAAATGACGAAATTCAAACCAGAAGAGACCGAAAGAATAGTACAATGAACGCACATTGCAGACAATGCTGACAACCCGGTAAATCTCCTTTTTTTAAACTGAGCTATAGACATAGAGATTATGTGAATTCTATTTTCTCTGTCACCAAGTTTACCGTCCGTGATATATTTAACATTAAGACTTTGTCCTCGAGATTTCAATCACGAGAATCGAGAGCGAATATTAAATCTTATTGTGTTATAGTATAAATCTACGATTTGTGCAAAACTTTATCTAAATCCTCTTCAGAGACACCTTGAAAACGGACCCAAAACGCAAAGAAGCGACCGCCATTTTGTTAACAACCGCATATTGCTGGCTACCCACTATCTACAACAGAATACATGTAGATAATAGTGTAGCGCCATTCGTGATGGTACGCTAGTAGATTTATACTAAACATATGTAGAGGTTTTCATTTTATGGAGGTGTCCGCAAGCATAGGTTCGACTGTACTCGAGTTAAGGAAGTTATGTCCTGAGCTACTAGCTTCTGAGGACCAAAAAAATCGCATGACTCCCGGGCGCGAGATCAATGTGATCAACACTGGATGAGCTAGTTTGATTCGGAGCTCTGGAAGACTTCGTTATGCTGTTTCCCTGCGACCATCCCAAGGAGCTTTCACTTGTTTAATAACCCGTGACCTATCTTCAAACTTTCCACTCTTGATTATCGCTAACCTGGCAGTGGGAGAAAGCCCACTTTGCATCCGAAGTAAGCTTCAGTACTCTAGACTAGATTTAGCCCTAATGATAACTTGAGCTGTTTC